TCCTTCAAAGCGGGAGCCTACAGTTTTGATGACGAAGTGAGGTTTGGGTTACCTGTGAACTCAGATTGAGGGAGCTGCGGGTCGTGAAAGTGCTGGATGAAGAAGCTGCTTCCTCGGTCAATCCGTACGCAAAGCAGCTACGAGATCTGAAGCGAATCGTCGATCAGAGGGAAAAATTCGTCCAGTCCGTCTTCAACGTGATGGTGCAGCCCACTCCGTCCAAAAAAGTTCGAGCCGAACCTTATGCAATAGAGCTGGATGGCTCTCCCTTGCACCGGTGTAGCACCAGACATTGCTCCTAACTGCTAGTTGCCTCCCGTACTTAACCGTTATATGGCCGAGAAAACCTCCACGACCCGAGCCCAAGTCAAAATTGAGATGATGTCCAACTTTGCGTCGCGCCGGCCTGCATTGTGAAGCGATGGCATCCACGAAGTGCTCAAAAACTGGCAAGGATCCCGCAATAACATTGCTGTATAATTTTGATCTTGCACGCCTCTCTATAAAAAAAACCTAATTCATAAAAAATATGACAGAACTTTCCCGCCAACCTAATATTTCCGACAGTTATTTCGGGTTGTTTAGTTCAGTCTAATACAGCAAATTTTAATGGCAAGGTAGTAGGTAAGTGATGAAAGGGGGTCGTATTAAGCGACATCCCCACACAACACAGTGATGGACCTTGACCCTGCTTCCCTAGCTGATGACTTCGTGGATAACCCGCGAAATTCGGGAAAAGGGTGATGCAGAGGCTTTGGGCCCAGTTCTTGAGCGTGTGGGGGGGGGAGGTAGCGAGTGGCCCTAAGCAAAGCTTCTACAAACCACCTTATAAAGAACTTGTAGGTTTCTTCGACAAAGTGGTTCACTCGCACCATTTCGCAGCTTCGCAGGTGTATACAGGTCTCACTAATGTAAGACCTGTTATTCAACATGATAACAAAAGGATCTAGCAAAAGTGCAGAATGCCCCCTCCAAGAAGAACAGCACTCAGACTTTGATATTCCCCATCCCCTGATGTTTCCTGAGAGTGACTAAAGGGAACCTTTCGTGATCTTCACTAAACCGATGGAAGAAGAACTGACGTAGTGATTCATCGTTGATGTTTGCTCGGACATTTTAAGCCCCGCCTCTTTGGAATGTGAGACTCGGAGGGAGTCATCGTAGGCGACGCTATTATGCATGCGGCATTAAAGAGCGCATGTTCAATATTGACATGGGGCCATTTAATAGAAATTCATGGCTATTTTGGTCTATACTAGGTGATGTAGTCCGGTGAAATTCAAACCTTCAGTGAGGTTTGGAAGAGTCAGATCTGTGGCTGGATATGGTGGCAAAGAAATCTGCCTAGATAACCTGTGACCTCTTGACCCTTTGGAAACAGCCGCTATGAGCACAAGGGCTGCATCGTTTGCTTCGTGGCACTAATGACATTCAAGTGGTTTGGTAGAGGCCACCTTGTAAACTTGAAGTTCTTGTGACCAAAAGAGCTCATTCGCCACATTTCGCTAACAAAAGAAGCTAGAGAAAGCGTGCAATGCCCCCCCAACCAGAGTAGACGCAGAAAATCAAGTGAACTTTAACGCATTCACGTCGGTAAATACGGGCTCAGTGTTGACCATTTTCCTCTGAGGCAGATGCCTGTTAATCATAATGATTATAGTATTTTAGATTTCCAAGTGTGGATGGGCTAGAAACTCGGGATCTGAAGATAACCCTTAGTTAGCAAGGATAAATCCCCATTTCAGGCCCGTATAAACCTACTAGTCAGTCCAGTTTCGTATCAAACCATTCGTGAAGGTTATCTTGAGCCCTACCGTAAGCCTCGTTACATTTGAGCTCCCGTGATCCTCCTCATCAGGACACGTAGTTGTCTGGGGAAATCCCCTGCGCGGGTTGTACTCATCCGCTGAAGGGGAGATGGGGCTGTCTCTGGCCAAAAATTTTTATGTTTATTTTCCTGTTTCACGCCTGCCTGCAAATATCTGGAGAATTCATGACAACGCGGAGGTAGAGGAAGAGGAGGCGATTGCGAACTTTACTTGCTCATCGCCTACAAGAAGAGCCCGGCTGAGTTGCCGCCTTTTTAAAATTTTTTTCAAGCAAGAGGTCGGGGGGAGGTAGGGCACATTCCAAACCTCGATGCTCTTGTTCCTTTAAAAAGAAATAGGAATCTTGAAAAACTGCGCGAAAATGATGGGAAGTTGCGGAAAAAGTGAAAAGGTTGAAAGTGATAGGATGGAAAGGAGGATAGGGGACTGTACCGCCGGAGGGAATTGGGAGGGGTCTTAACATGCAAAATTTTTCCTTAGTAACAGGAAGTGCCCACCAGAATTAGGAAACGCCTCTGCCTAAACTAAGGTTTTAGCCCAAGAGAACAGCGCCTGACCAGGTTTTAGCCTAGGGAAACAGCACATGACCGATAAGCCAGTATAAAATCCTATCAGGTTTTCCAAAAGTGAAGGTATATTTGAAAAAAAAACTAAATGACCTCAGTAAAATGGATCTCGCTCTCCTATCTTCTATGTTCAGCTTACATTGTTTCAATCTTTCATCTTTCCTCAGTTCACTGAGTTCCTTCCATCATCCTTCACAGCTCTCCGAACTGGGCGGCTCCTTAGACCTAAAAATGACTCGTTTCAGTTCCGCTACACAACTACATTCGATAAAGTGCTCCTCATAATCGGCTCAGTTGTAGCTGTAGGTACTGGTATTGGATTACCAATGATGTCTATTATTATGGTAGGTAGTGAACTTATTGCCTATTCAAAACCTTTGCTCATATTCTAGGAGGTAGAGTTCCTAGCAGAACCCGGTAAAACATTTTGTCTGCGCATGTTGAGAAAGCTCCAAGTTGATGGGTCATTATCCTTTGTTAATTCCTATCGGGAGGGTAGAAGAGCAGTTCCTCCTGAGTCTTCTGTGCGACTCCCGTCCCCCGGATCTTCCTTTGCCGGACTCCCTCTTTTAGGACACTTCTCGCCCACATTTCCACGTGTCTCTGCAGGAGTCACCACATCGCAGCCACGCCCCTTCTTGCCTCCGATGTAGGCTTTATCCATTGCATTTTGATATTTTGATATTAGCTGTAGCAGAAAGCAACTTTAAAGGCGATAAAACAACGACATCGAAAAAAATGGCCCCCTATTTGTGCCGCGCTCTGCCATTTTGAGAGATGTGACTGCATGCTATTCTCAATGACTTGAAGTGAATTTCCCTGATAGCCACCCAGTTAATTTTATCTAACAGGTCATATTTTCAGGGTAACGTTTCACAGAACTTCATGGATATCAATGGAAACACAACCTGTAAGTTATTAAGCCCTCCTGTTTATTTCTTTTCAGTGGTTGCTATTGACACGTCTTGCTGAAATGGTCTGCAATATAAATTCGTTTGTGTCTCAATGTCTTTTTCATTTTGTTTATTTTAGTTTTTACTCCATCTGTTACCCTTTAATTATTTCACTGTCTCTCTTGCTTACTTTTTTCTATGCAGGCGGAGGCAGAGTACAGGATCGTGGATCTGTGAATGGTGGTGGAGGTACGACTCCCCCTCCGCATACATTTCCCAGTTTTTTACCCAAAAAATTTGCCGTCGAGCGAAGGGGGGGAGGGGTATGGTATGGTACACATGAAACAGGAAAAATCGCGCGAAAGCAACAACCGGAGAAGTTTTTCCCCACGGTCCAAGTTATCTCTTAAAGCCACATTTCGCACATACGTGACTTTGACATCTGCCCGTCAACGACCAAGTACGAACCCCCCTCTATGTATTTCACACAAGGATGCTGTATTCTGGGCGGAGGTGCTGTCCATGATCGTGCGCCATTGCCTGACATCTCCGTAGTACCTTTGCCCACCGCCTTTTTGCGACAAAAATTCAAAAAAGAGGGATCAAACGTTTTTACTCTAACCTTTGTTAAGGTCTCACTATTTGAATGACTCGCTTCTCAGATACTAGCAGGAATTCGATGAGATAATATCGAAGCGGGCGGGACCCAATCCCACACCTATGCTTCATAAAAAGGATAAAGGATAAAGTCTTCGCCGTTGATCAATCCCTTTGTGGGATGCGGCACGCATTCTACTTCCATTCAGAATCGTAGCTTATTGAATGCGATGTGGCCTATACAATGACTTGCGGTGGCCAGCCGATGTACAAGTCAGTGTTTTATCCTCCCAGACGAATCTGGTACCAATTTACATCCCCGAGAGGGCTGAAGGCTTGGTGTGTATGTGCCTGCGCGGAGTCGACCTGATTCGACCCGGGGTGTCCGCGCGAGTGGTAAGCGTGCCACTTGTCACTACACCACCTCCGCCTCCCTATGCTATCCCTACTATCCTTTATCCTATGCTTCATGCGCATCGTTTTTCCACTGCACCTTAGTCGCGTTCTGATAAGATCCGTTTCGCTAACGGCGGCGATAAACAGCCGTCAGCAAGGAATATCGATTCGCCGAAATAATTCGCAATACGATTTCTAGCCACCATTTTGTGATTTTTTAAGGTCCTTTTTAATAATCGTGTTTTAATTTTTGGATATTGGTTTCATTTCCAGCACTCAAACAGTTCGAACATGACGTGATACAAAACTGCCTCAAGTATGTCTACCTCGGTTGTGGAGTGTTCACGGCAGGCGACGACTTCAGGTATGCGTCCTGCTTAATACTTATTGGGCAGCTAGGAGTGCAGAACAGCAGGAGTCTGGGACGCAGTAGACTCTCAGAGAAGGACAGTTCCCTCATAGTTTCCCCTACTATAACTCACTGAGCTTTCTGAACATGATTTCTCATTTCACTTTCGCTTCCTTTTTTATTTCGGACTGCAACAAGCTCTTGGACGCACTATAGCCTTCGCGTCTCTCCGTTCCGATTTCCGGCTTTCGAAAAATCGGAGTTGGGAGCTTCCAAAATCGGACCACTCAGGCCGGTTTCTTGACTCTCCGTGGTAGCACTTGACTCATAGTATTTTGCGCACTGGACCGGGGTTCCAAAGAACCAAACGCCGGGGGAAGGTATTCTGGCTCAGCCCTGCTATCCGCACATTTGCGCACCTGTCGTGTGGCAGATTTAGAACTCGCCTTGGCCATTTGGCACTCTCAGCCATGTATAAAAGAAAGCTCACCTAGTGGGAAAGAGCAAGTGGCCTGAACTACCTCCCATATTGAGCCAGCGCAACTGCGTTTTAAGACATACAATGTTTTTTCTCGTCCAAATCACACGAGTCTATTTTTTGTGTCTTTTTTTTTTTTTTTGGTGTGTTTTTTTTTTTTTTTTTTTTTTTTATTTTTTTCCCCATTTAGGCCATGTGTTTTCTGACGGGGTCTGTGCAGAATCTTCGTAAAATCAGCTTGAGCAAGGAATTTTCAAAGCAAGATTCTGCCCAAGACGTATTAACGGTTGGTTCGACAAGAAACAAAATTCAGGACTCTTGCTACAAAGCTTTTTGAGAAGTACTTTCACAATCGTTTCGCAGGCCGAACAGCCATAAATCGCAGGTGAGTGGTGTTAGCAATCTGAACAGTCAAAGAGGGAACCGCCGAACAAACTTGGCTGATGATTCAATTACGCTGAGCCAGTTTTCGGCCGTTCATTGTGGCCTATCACCTAACGATTGGAAAACTACCCTGATCATGAATGTCACAGCCCCGTTGATGAGTTACTCTGCGCGAGCAGGTTCAAGTGCTAAGGTAAGCCATTGTTTTGAGGGATGTCCAATGGGCCACCTTCTTTTCTTGGCGCATGACGGCTGCCTTATTATAGCTGATGGCCTCTGCTGCAACTCGGGAAGCCAAAAAATACGCCGTAGCTGGAGGAATTGCTGAAGAAGTGCTCACTTCAATGAGAACCGTCATCGCATTCAACGGACAACCTTATGAATGCGAAAGGTGAGCACCATCACAAATCCGGAATTCTTCCGCATTTCTCCTTTCTTTCGCTTTTTTTGAACATTTACTTTCAGCACGCAAGGGAACGGGGTAACTGCGCCTCAGTGATGCGGTGGGGGTGGGGGCGTCGGAAGGAAAACGAGCTTCCATCTACTTTTCATCCTACCAGCAGAGACAGTGTACCTTCGGGGATTCGGAGCGGACGAGTAGCTGGAAGCGGGGCATGTCGCATCGCTTTTGGGAAGGTTCTCAACTGTTAAATTCTCTCGGGTTTCTCCATTTCACGTACACATGCCTCCTCCTCTGCCCGACGTCATGTGTTGAGGGGAAAGTGTTGATTTTCTGGGGAAAAATGCAGAGAAGACTCAGGGTACTTAGCGAGAGTGTGTATGTTGGCATATAGTGGGAAGCGTGAGCTACACAGGGAGCTACAATCTGTAATGGGGGAGCACGTAGTCCGCAAATTTTATTCCCAACGGAAGGACGGGTCTTGACTGCCGCCAGCGAACCTCACCTTACACCATCTCCATGAGAGGGCGCAGACGAAGGGGGATATGAAATTGTCTCGTTTTCGACTGCACGCCGCGTGCGGCGGCGCGTTACCGATGCCTAGTATTAGGTGACTGGTCGACATTCTTGAAAAGTTTTCGGACTCGTCGCATCATTATTTGCAGCTCTAAGGCAGCACTCCCTTTAACAAGCTCAATTACGTCGGTTGGCGAACGGTAACGACGGAGTGGTGGGGGGGGGGGGCACGGAGTGTGCACTTTTGTACCTCCCATGGACCTAGACAGCCTCTTCTCGAGTTGACAGGTTTTAACATGATGGCTTGACGACCTTGTTCCAGCTTCACAAGAGTTCACAGGTTTCGCCAGAGTGAGACATGTAAACCGGAACTAAGGAAGCAATGATAGTACAAAATGCCCCCCCCCCTTTTCGACAAACTGCGCCTACTTCGTTTCAGATGCTTGAAGTTCCTTCCAAACAGTGGTTGACCGCACCGCGACCATGCGCGTCTAGCCCCTGTACCTGCATTGCCTAAGACCAACCTCTCTGGAGAAGGTCTAAGAACAAGCTCTTCGGAAAAGAGATCATTATTTTGGTGAGAGAGTGCAGACAGACAGACTTAGCGTGCCCCCCCCTCTACCTGCATTTTCCTGAACTTTTTATTGAAATGTGATAATTTCCTGGAGGAAAATTCTTTGAAATATTTTGTCCTTGTGTTCAGATACGAAAAAGCCCTAGAAGCTGGAAAAGCGACGGGAATCAAAAAGTCCTTGTACATCGGCATTGGTCTTGGAATCACTTTCCTAATCATGTTCTCTTCATACTGCCTAGCTTTTTGGGTTGGCACGGATTTCGTTTTCAAAAATGAAATGCAAGGAGGAACCGTGATGACGGTAATTTTTTTATTGAAAACTTTAGGTTGATCTTTCTCCAAACAATGCCACTGAAATTTCCTTTTAAGGTATTCTTCTCCGTGATGATGGGATCTATGGCGCTTGGACAGGCTGGGCCACAGTTTGCAGTGCTTGGTACAGCTTTGGGTGCGGCTGGATCTCTCTATCAGATTATCGATCGGGTAAGGAACTTTGGACCGCGCCCCGGTTGATCGCAGGTCTGAGAGGCGTGCGGTCGCGAAGCGGCGCCTCGCATCGCGGCTTCTACTTCAGTAGTGAATTTTTTCTTATCTTCGTACATTTAGGAACCAGAAATTGATTCTTATTCAACGGAAGGTGTGAAACCGTCAAATCTCAAAGGAAAAATAACCGTTTCAAATTTGAAGTTCACGTACCCAACTCGACCAGATGTGCCCATTCTCAAGGTATGTCAGCCAGATGCCACCAAACATCAACGCTCTGATCTCTTTGCACTTTCAGGGTGTTTCGTTCGAAGCGAATCCTGGCGAAACGGTAGCACTCGTAGGGTCAAGTGGTTGCGGAAAAAGTACCATAATCCAGTTGTTACTGCGATACTACAACCCCGAAGACGGGAAGGTATGGATCCCTTCATGCCATTCCATAAAAGTGTTGTATTTCAATGGATTTCATAGACAAAATATCTATTCCCGTTTGGTAAAGCAATCGTGGCTTATTCCAGACGAGAGACATGGGCGTTACTGCGAGTGCGGCTGCGTCGCAGCTAATGCCTAATGTCTTTTATGTCTACGGCTGGTGCAACGTAGTTGTGCCTGTCTTAGACATTACGCATAACCTTTTCAAGCCGAAAAACCAGAACTAACCAGAACTTTGATCAAAACCGACATATTGAGTCAATCAATAGATTGATTTTGATCAAATCAATCGATATATCGATTTTCTAGATAGCAATAGATGGAGTGGATATTGACAAAATCAATATTGAATTCCTCCGAAATTACGTTGGAGTGGTATCACAAGAGCCGATGCTTTTCAACACAACAATTGAACAGGTCAGCCTTTTTCAGGGAAGTCTAGCCGTTGATAGCCTACCTCCTCACCCCCGCCCCCTTCAAGAAATTACCCATATCCTTTCAGAATATCCGCTATGGACGTGAAAATGTCACAGATGCAGAAATTACTGCGGCTCTTCGCAAAGCAAATGCCTACAACTTCGTGCAGTCATTCCCTGATGTGAGTTTGATCCCCGTTTGTTGTTGTTTGTTTTGCATCACGCGATAACGAATGGGCAAAGGCTCATGGTCGTTCTGCTTCTCATTGGTGGCTTCCTCGTTCTGAAACGGTGAACAGGAGGGCGCGCCAATGAGCAAGACACGGTTGTTGTGAGTCTCCGCCTACTGCTCCGCCAATTCGATCATCGAGGAATGTGTCTTTAAGAGACATGTTAGCTTAGCAATAAAGAAAGTTCTTCCAGGGAATCTACACGAACGTCGGTGACCGCGGAGCCCAAATGTCCGGTGGCCAAAAGCAACGGATAGCCATAGCCCGTGCTTTGGTCAGAGACCCGAAAATTCTTCTCCTCGACGAAGCCACAAGTGCTCTCGATGCTGAAAGTGAACACATCGTTCAACAGGCGCTTGAAAATGTAAGAAGTTTGGGTGTTCTCTCTCGGGTAACCTCAGTGTTGAAGTAAATATTTCAGGCATCCAAAGGAAGAACCACCATTGTTATTGCTCATCGGCTGTCGACAATCCGAAATGCTGACAAGATTATTGCAATGAAGAATGGAGAGGTGAGAACTAATCTGGAGGAAAACCCACTTTGAGTTGTATGGGTGGAGTCAGCCAAGTCATTTGTATGAGCGGAGTTAGCTGGTCATTCATAGCTTGCGTTCTGTGGAAAGAATGCCAGAAATGCTGGAAAATGCAAGAAGTTTCGAGTGCGAAAGGATGCAGAAATGCCGAAAAAGTGGAAAATCGATACGTATCGGTTGCTTTTCTGCACATTCCGCACTTCGGCATTTCTGCAGATTCCGCACTTCTTCACTTTCGGCATTTCTGCATTTCTTCAAGTCGATACGTATCTATTGCTTTTCTGCACTTTCCGCACTTCTGCATTTTCCGCATTTCTGCATTTCTTCACGAACGCAAGCTATGAACGCGGCCTTAAGCTGGTCATTCTTTCTTTCTCCCTACATATGTCTCCTTTCCCTTGCCACAAAAAGGACGATGCGCCTTTCCTCCCAAGATGAAAATGAACTTCAGTGACGAATCAGGGCACATCATCCTTGGGGATTCCCCTACAGGGGGTCGTATTCGGTCGCAGGGGGAGGGAGGAGGGCGTCCGGTCGTGATTGCTCGTTGTTGGGAGAGTCGTAGTCGTATTTGACTTCTGAGAGAAAGCTGCGGAGTTGGGGAAAAATTTTTCCCAGTTGTTGACCTTTCGCGGTTTTTCATGGTTCCTACATGTGCTATATACCCTCCCCCCAAATTTTTAGAAAACTTGAAAACTTCCTGAAAATTTAGTGGAGGGAAATCCAAAGGGTAGCAGGTGAGGAAGGGAGCGTTTGTCTGCGGTTCTGCATGCAATGCCCTCCCCCACTCCCCTGATGCCGTCTGCAGGAGGGAATGCGGGGGGGGTCCCCACCAAGCTACACCTTTAGGGGTGCGAGTTTACGACTCGACCATAAATCTCAACTAATAATGTTTTCTGCCCTGAGGAAATTACACAGCAGTTAAGTGTCTCCGGCCCATGTGATCAGCGTAGAATGTGCCTTTGATAGTATAGCTCACTTCTTCGTTTAGGTGGTCGAAGTCGGAACTCATGACGAGTTGATCGCCCGTAAAGGACTGTATCACGAGCTGGTCAACGCCCAAGTGTTTGCCGATGTGGACGACAGTACGTTGTTTTGGCTTGAACCGGCTGTCAAGGGGAGAGGCCTTGGCATTTGTGCAGAGCAAAGTCCTGGGAGGGAAACGGCTCTATCACCATGAATTGTTGATTTCGGCGCTGCTGGTTTGCAACCTATAAATGCAGGGATGGGAAAATATATTTTTGCCAGCAATATGAATTGAAAAAAACTGGGATGTGTGGCAGAGTTCGCCTCCTCGGTGCGAGAATTAGCTTCAGGTGATTTGAATCAGAAATAAGAGCATATAATCATCACCATATCTTCTTGTTCGCTGCGGATGACGGAGTGTGTCAGGGGGGATGTGTTTGGTTTTTTTCTTTTTTTTTCGGCAAGCGACACGGCTCCACCATATCCTCGTTTCACCCGTTTTTACAGCTGTTGCCACTGACCCCCCTCCCCCTTCCCCCTTTAACGACCGCTGGAGAACGAGCTGGCGGCGCGCTAGACCTAGTCTCACTGACACGCCCCTTCATCCTTAGGGAACGGAGCTGTACCACCTGCGCAATATGCAACTTTTTCGTATTGTACCAGTATTTTTTTTCTAGCGTCCACTTCCAATACTCAAAAAGGGGTTATATACAGGACACACCGCCACTATGAATCACCCAACGCAAGGGGCGGGGGCTTAGTTAGGTCTGATCTTGAAAACTCTGTTTTTTGGTGTTGATTTTTCTCTTTTCGGGCGCGCTGTGCATCTCGTCCCCCACAGACGGCAGCACTGTGATGTTACTATTAGTTGGTCAGAGGAAGACTCCTCCTGCTTGGCGTGTTTGGGAGGGCTTTCGGAGAAAAGATTCCCCATTACGATGGTGTGCACTGGTCATACCTTTCTGCAACGCCAGATTTGCGCCGCTTTCTACGCTTCACCCGTCATTGCCCAAAAACAGGTTAATGATTATCAGGGTGAGCGCGCATCCCCCCCCCGCCCCACCCCATTTTCTAGTTTCACTACCATTCAGCGTTGTTACACATCTCTCAAAAAGTAAAGAATCCAGTGAGAAGGGAATTTCTAGGCACACGTTCGCCTTGAAACTTAATCTTACAGTCTTCACTGATAGTAGGGACGGAATGGGCGGAGACAGTGCATTAATCATATGCGCATCACATCCTATTCGCCACCTTGCTAGGGGGAAGGGTTGTTACACGGAGAAACGTGGAATGCTTGGGCACGGGACCAGCGTAGACTATGCCTGCAATGCCTGGGTTCGTAATTAATTACGCGGGTGTCAAACCACATTTTTCCTTGTCCGTATGTTTGTCCGTTCGGTCTTTGACTTTATTTTGTCCTATAAATCATTCTTCTTTCGCTTTATTAGACTTCTTTGTTTTACTTCACTTCTTCCCCTTACCTCCCCCTCTTAATTCACCTGAGCTGTATCAGGACCTTAAACTCAATTCTTAGCTCTCTTCAACTCACTAGGGTGTGTTGCCATAACTGCCTAGCGGACTGTCGTTGTTATATTTGAAGATCACGTTGCCTGCTCGTCTGAAACTAAGAGCTCGTTATCTGCTCGAAAATCACTCGGGAAGATATTGCTAACTTTGGGAATCTTGGGGAGGAAGGATCAAGATGGACAGGCTACAGGCTCACATAGGCCGAGTCGCGTCGCGCGCAGAGTGGGCGTGGTGCGTGTTCCAGTGGGTGGTGCCAGAATCTGGTAATTGCAGACTCGATGCAAAGTTGTGAAACTTACAGCTTTTTCGCCTCTTTGGCCACTCTGTTCGTTATTCTTATTGTTTCCAGAAGTTGGAGTAGCTGCAGTACGGCGGCGTACAATGTCGTCCGTATCGCGGTCCTCATCGTTCGATTCACCCGAATATAAGGTGCAGTTCCCTGGATAGCTGCTATTTTTCTCACTTCGTGGCCATTTTTAGTATTTTAGCGTATGAAATCCCAATTGTCCACAACTGAAGAACCAGACGCTGCAGCTGCTCAGAACGATCCGGTGAAGGTTGAAAAAGATCTGGAGAGACTGAAGAAAGGTGAATTCCACTCGATTCCTTTAATGAAGGCAAATTATTGACTTTTTCAGAACTCGAAGAAGAAGGTGCAGTGCGGGCGAATCTTTTGAGAATCCTTGCCTATGCTCGTCCTGAATGGCCTTTTATCGTGCTTGCCGTTTTCTGCGCGGTCGTACAAGGCTGTGTTTTCCCGGCTTTCTCGATGTTCTTCACACAAATCATCGAGGTACTGTCTCTTTTCCTTCTTTTCAGTTCCTTCATTCATACTAGAACTTTTTAAGGTGTTTTCTAAGCCACCAGGTGATCCAACGCTGAAGAGTGAAGGTCATTTTTGGGCACTTATGTTCCTTGTGTTGGGCGGCACGCAGTTTACTACTATGCTTGTACAGGTATGCCCTACTACAGCCGCTTTACCCAGAACTTTTCCATCACCAAAAACTTCCTCTGCAGTGTTTCTTCTTCGGTTTGTCAGCTGAAAGGCTCACAATGCGCCTTCGATCGAAGATTTTCAAGAATGTAATGAGAATGGATGCCACTTATTTCGATATGCCGCGTCATTCACCCGGAAAAATCACCACTCGACTGGCTACCGACGCACCGAATGTGAAATCGGTAGGTTAAGTAGCTCATTGTGGATGAGGAGAGGGGACAAGGGGGGGGGGGGAAGCAGACATTGAAAGCGTTTGTACATATGGCTCTTGCTATCGATCCGTAATATCGCCTCTGGTGTTCTGGTGCGGGTCGGGAGATTTGAGTCGCGGCGACAAGCAGTAACTAGCTCGATAATCGCGCCTAGGCCTTGTTAACTCAGTCAAATCGACTAACTGGTTTGAGTGCCGCGCACGCGAACTCGGATCTCCTGAACTGTACCTATTTGCGCTGCAGCCTGCCACTTTGTTAGGTGCTACCGCTTCACGTCATTCATCAGCGCTTACTATCATCTGGGAGAAATGGCTAAGAATATCGCGGGGCAAGTCCACCCTCTGGAAATGGGCTTTTGCTGTACCTACTGTGTTGACCCACTTAATTCTGCACATTTCCTGCCTGCGTTCAGTTAATTTTGCTTAAATTGAGGAAGATAGGAAAAGAAGCCGCTAGGACCCACTCACTGATACCTTTTTCTAGGGGCTAGGCTATGACAGCTGTTGAGGTGATATACTACGGTACTGTAACGGCGAAATTCCTCAGAAACGAGTATGCATGCCCTAGGCGCTGGCATTCACGGTATATACAGGGGGGGCCAAAAAAAAGTCATTCCGGCCGAGTCACATATGAGCGAAGTTTTCGCAGCCCAGACAGAGGAAGTGGATATGAGTACCAGGGCGGAAGATACCCAAGATCTTCCTCTATAAGCAGGAGCCGGCTGCCGCCATTCACCTTCATGTACACCAAAATATGAAGTCATCTCCAGTCGCGGCCTGAGTGGAGAACGCCTTTGGAATTCACGTGGCCTCCAAACAGCTGCGGAACTTCTTGAATGGAATCACCCATGGATAGCTACCTGGAGACCAGTACTCTTGATCTGCAAGACCTCAAACATCGAGCAGCTCCGGCAACGTCGCTACGGTCCAGGACATCATCTTCACCCCATTCACCAAGGCGCGGGTTGATGTGTGGACCGGCCGTACCTGGACATAGAAGACCGATTATTTTCTTTGCAGACAGGTCCCGATCTGAAGGTGAGCGCGCTGGGCCGTCTACATCAAGTAACTCGAGAAGGATATCCTCCCTACATGTGGTCGCCCGTACCTTCTTGGAGACCTTGTGCTGCTACAGGTTTGGGTGCCACCACATGGAATCGAAGGGTTTTGGAAAAACTCCCGCCTACTTCGAATGGAAGGGCGTTTCGTACCTGATGAAGATGTAATATTGAAATATGTCCCCTGACCTAAACCCACTCAAGTTATCCTTAAGTTCGGCGGAGCTCACAGCAGGTGGTCTACAGTGGCGGAGAAATCAACGATCTCGCTCAACTCCGGTACCCACTCACTTTCGCGCGGCCGAATCTCTCGATGGCGCTCCTCCAGAAGGCTGTGGCGGAGTATCATTATAGTATTTAATGTGCTCTTTAATATGGTAGTAAAAATGTCCGATAAAAATTTGAATAAAGTGTAACTTATAGCGCCTTGAAAGTCATGCATGCAAAATGACGTTTTTTTTGGCCACGCCATGTATACCATCCCATACGCAGTGTGGGCCGCAGCGAAGAAGCGGACGCAAACGATTATGCCGTCCCGTTAAATGGCCCGGTTGGTGAGGTTCGTCGCAGTTCAGACCTTACGTCCTTTCCTGACGTCCGTCTGAGGTCCACACCTTTCTCCGCCTCGGATAGCATATCATAACTGTGGACCAATATGGAGGAGAGGGTCATTAGTCCCATGTTTTCAGGCTCTCGACTATCGTTTCGGGTCAGTCTTCGGTTCGGTCGTCTCCGTATGTTGTGGTGTTGGAATCGCCTTCTACTATGGATGGCAAATGGCGCTGTTGGTGAGTGGTACCTTCTGAGCCTTTGAGGAGACCTTCAGGCGACCACGGCTACTGAGAGCGCGTTCATACTTCGCGTTTCCGATCGCTTGGGATCGCGCCACAGGATCCCGAAGTACGACCGTGCTCCCAGCTCTTTCGAGATTTCGTAGATGTCTTCATATTCTAGACAATCGCCATTTTCCCGTTGTCTGCTGTTGGTCAAGCGATCCAGATGAGATTTATGTCAGGACGTGCAACATCTGATGCGAAAGAGATGGAAAATAGTGGAAAAGTTCGTTTACGCGAAATTAATAAATCTTTTAAAAAAATAAGTAAAAAGCTGGGTTTTCAGATCGCCATGGAAGCCATCGAAAATATCCGAACGGTACAGGCGCTGACATTGGAGCATCGGCTTCACGCACAGTTTTGTCATCATCTGGATGGACCGCATAAGACCAGCAGAAGAAAGGCTGTCATGCAGGTGAGGGGCGCAATTAGCTTCCGTATTGGAAGGTGGCGGGGGGAGAGCACGAGAAGGCGCCACTAACCGTAACTGCGCTCCTCTGCCCCACGAGATGACCTTGCGCGGGCTCTTCGCCTGAGCTGTTCCGGCGTATGGCCTAGGAGCAACGGAATCAGTGTTAAGACGGTGCAATGGAGCGCATTTAGTTGTGCCCCTTCCCTCCGAACTAATGTAACATCCAAATGGCGAACCAGCGAACCCATACCAATCCCTCCATTCCGAGCAATGGCTAACTTTGAAGCTTAAGATTAGTATTTCTAGGGTATTTCCTATGGATTCGCGAGCAGCATCTTCTACTTCCTGTACGCCTCATGTTTCCGTTTTGGATTGTGGCTTATCGTCACGAGCAGAATTCAACCAATGAATGTCCTTGAGGCGGGTTCTCCTTCTCACACAAGACCGGGCGTTCCCGCATAGCGGTCGCGTTGCGGGATTCCAGTGTTCAGGTGGCGTTCACAGGGTAACATGTGCATTTTCAGGGTTCTTTTCGCCATCTCGTTCACAGCTGGAAGCATGGGCTTTGCTAGTTCTTATTTCCCTGAGTACATCAAGGCGACATTCGCTGCTGGCCTTATCTTCCACATGCTTCAAGAGGAGCCGCGAATTGACGGTATGACAAAGAAAGGCAAAAAGCCAAACATCAACGGTGCTGTCAAGCTGAACGAAGTCTACTTTCAACTATCCAGAAAGGCCAGATGTACCCATTCTTCAAGGGCTCAATATCGATGTAAGTGCATTTAGAGTCTTTCTTCTCTCTTCATAAACCTTCAGAGGCGACCTGTTCTCTTTTCAGATTAAACCCGGCGAAACCCTAGCTTTGGTTGGGCCTAGTGGTTGTGGAAAATCAACTGTGATATCGTTACTCGAAAGGCTTTACGATGCGCTGGACGGCTCTGTTGTAAGTATTTTCCGAGACTCATATTACCTGTACAATTCTTATGGGAGCGTCGCAGCAGCGTCGCAACATGGCAGCGCAGGACATAGCTCGCTTCGTTCGTCGCTTTAGGATATCATATAGAAACAACCGATGAAAAAGGGATCCTATGCATGTTCAAATGCAGTACGCAGCCACGCCTACCCCATCTCTCGGATAGGGAGTGAAGGTTTTGGCGCAGTGCCAGCCTACTTCCAACAACGGCTGCCCGCTCCAAAGAGGGAACGAGCTGGCGCCGCGCCAAGGCGTACAGCAGGAACGCCTCCACATTACGCACCTATAGTGATTGTATGTTACACACAGACCCGATAGGTTTCCAGTCCAAGTGAACGGGTACCTTATCCCAAATGTAGCCATTGTCCCAGCAAGTGAAAAGACTTGAAGAGCGCGGATTGGAGCGGAGCTAGGCTGCTAGTCTTCACCAAGTGGTACCATTCTGAGTCCAGGGGGTCCAACCTGTCATCACACGCCTCATTTGCCAACTTTGCCTCCTCCTTCTGGGATAATGACTGGCTGAAGCCCACTTACTCTGGACCTGGTGGTCTTTCTTTGGGTCGCAATTGCGGAATTTGTGGTGCCTCGAGATATTCTGTTTATTCTATGCCTTATACGGCTACCCTAAGCTTCCAAGTTCATAAGCTCACTAGGCGTTCTTCAGCGGACAATTACCAATTTTTCCAATCCCCCCCCGCCTACTTCAGCAGCGGTTCCGGAAAGGAATCTAATAATCTTTCTCTCCTTCTGCTCCTTCCTTTTTTCTCTTTCTCCTTCCTTCTTTCTCTCTTCCCTCTTCCTTATTTACCTCCCTTCAACGGCTCGGCTGGAAGATCCGATGAGAAAATGGACCCTCACAACGAAAGAGCATGACAGAAACCCTGTAACCAATTCACCATATACCAGTCGCGACATCGCACGCTAACTCGGACAGCCTTATCGATCGATGCCGCATCACCGCGCGCGTCCCATCGCGACCTCCTTCCCTATGGGTTCTATAAATCTGCACAGGACACTGAGGTAGTTCAGAACAAAGAAATAAAGCCAAATCCTTTCTTTGCAGGAAATTGATGGCAACGATCTACGCGAAGTGAACCCCACTCATCTGCGTGCCCATATAGCATTGGTATCACAAGAACCGATTCTTTTCGACAGATCCATCCATGACAACATCGTCTACGGTCTACCACCAGGATCCGTTAGTGATGCCGAAGTGCATGAAGTCGCACAGCTTGCCAACATTCACAAATTTATCTCGGAACTGCCTGAAGTGAGTTCTGTTTGGCGTTTACGGACCTTTGGATCATTATGGGGCTAAATATCTGCCAATTTAAGGGCTACAACACTCGAGCAGGTGAAAAAGGAACTCAACTATCTGGTGGACAGAAACAACGGATAGCCATTGCACGTGCGCTCATCAGGAACCCGAAAATCCTACTTCTTGACGAAGCCACCAGTGCGTTGGATACTGAAAGCGAAAAGGTACGACTAACAGTACTCTCATGGCCAGTAATTAAGCCTTGAAAGCAAAGTACACGCTAATAGCATGGGCGGAGTCGGGCCTGCTAGCGCTTCCCTACTCTTTACACGGTAGAGAGCAGAGACCAGCCAGTGAAAGAGGCGCAGTGCTAGATGTCTCCCCCCCAACTGATCTTAGATCGTGGTCCTTGTACGTCGTCATCCTCGCGCCTGATAGGAACATTCGGAGGACGCGGACGCGGGTGAATCAGCGACCGCGTCAGGAGTAGCAAACTGTCGGCGGCGCGGGGCCAGCTACTATGCGTCCTCTCACTCCCTACGCGCTCGACACGCGCCGCATAGTACTCTGCCGCCTGCACGATGACGGCTATTGACGGCTGGCGCCGCGAACAGCTGATTGTCGGCTCGATGAAGCCGATTTTTCTTCAAAAATCGTCTTATTTCGGCCGGTTTTCGGGAAGGTAAGTTACTTTTCTTTCTTTACTTGATAAATTGTATTAGTATCTTGCTTTTTTTGTTGATTTGGTGTAGTTTTTGCTGTTTTAAATGCTTTTTTCACTATTGTTTTTATGTTTTCAGGTTTCGTCTGTTTTTTCCCCATTTCGTCCCCCTGTTTGGCTTCTTTTCATTACTGTGTCACTGATGTGTTCCTGTCTTTGCTGAGAACACTCTCTGACACGGTTTTGAAGACTAGAGCCGCTTTTACACCCGTGTTCCCCAAGCTGCCCGTAAAAAAATGCCGGCTGGTGAGTATTTTAATTTATTTTTTGTTTTTTCTTTTGTTGTGTGATGTATTCTTCATTACTATACCATTGTTGTGTTCTCTGCTACGCGAAGAACACAATTTGGCATGGTTTTGAAGCTTGTGTTCTTCTTGAATGGGATTTTTTTTCATGGATTGCGCTAGTGCCCGTTATTCAAGCTTTTGCTTCGCTTATTTTTTGTTGTACTTTTTTTGTATGGCTCATAATTCACAACTCACAGCAATGAAGATTGAGCGGTATGAAAAAAGTACAAGCAAAAAATAAGCGAATAAAACTTACGGACCAGTGCAGAAAGAGGCCACCGGCGCTAATCTTGAAACAAAGCTTGTCTAAAAATAACTCAAGCTTCAGAACCGCGTCAAAGTGTGTTCTTCTCATTACAAAGAACACAACAATGGCACAGTTGTGAATTATGAGCCATACAAAAAAAGTACAACAAAAAATAAGCGAAGCAAAAGCTTGAATAACGGGCACTAGCGCAATCCATGAAAAAAATCCCATTCAAGAAGAACACAAGCTTCCAAAACCATGCCAAAGTGTGTTCTTCGCGTAGCACAGAACACAACAATGGTATAGTAATGAAGAATACATCACACAACAAAAGAAAAAAAAAAATAAATTAAAATACTCACCAGCCGGCATTTTTACGGGCAGCTTGAGGAACACGGGTGTAAAAGCGGCTCTAGTCTTCAAAACCGTGTCAGAGAGTGTTCTCAGCAAAGACAGGAACACATCAGTGACACAGTAATGAAAAGAAGCCAAACAGGGGGACGAAATGGGGAAAAAACAGACGAAACCTGAAAACATAAAAACAATAGTGAAAAAAGCATTTAAAACAGCAAAAACTACACCAAATCAACAAAAAAAGCAAGATACTAATACAATTTATCAAGTAAAGAAAGAAAAGTAACTTACCTTCCCGAAAACCGGCCGAAATAAGACGATTTTTGAAGAAAAATCGGCTTCATCGAGCCGACAATCAGCTGTTCGCGGCGCCAGCCGTCAATAGCCGTCATCGGCAGGCGGCAGAGTACTATGCGGCGCGTGTCGAGCGCGTAGGGAGTGAGAGGACGCATAGTAGCTGGCCCCGCGCCGCCGACAGTTTGCTACTCCTGACGCGGTCGCTGATTCACCCGCGTCCGCGTCCTCCGATTGTTCCTATCAGGCGCGAGGATGACGACTGTATGGTTTTTGCATGTTTCAACGGATACCCTGAATGAGCTTCTTCCAGGGTGTATTTACTATGGAACAAGCCTTTCTAATAGAGAGCGCTCCTTCAGCTCTTCTCCGTTGATTCTGTGTGCGGGGTTGGGCCTGCCATTGTGCTTCTCCCATTCGCTTCACCTTCTAGAGAGCAGGGGCAAGCCAATGAGGGTGACACAATGGTTCGATATCTTCGCCCATGATCTACCCCCCCCCCCCCTTAACGATCCCATTTCGGACTATGCTCTCCACTTACTTCGATAGATATCCCAAATGTGTATTTTTCCCCGCACTCATTCATGTTGTATCTAGACCTTTTCTATTCGAGTAGCGCTCCTTCAGGTCTTCCCCTCATTTATGGGCGGAGTCAGGCCTATCATTGTATGCACCTCCTCTTCGCCTTCTTAGGAATAGACGACGCCCTGGTAAGGAAAGAATAACAGTAGGCCCGACTCCGCCCATGAGGCCAGCGTGGTGCGTGGGCTCTAACATCTAATTTCCTCCCTCGTGAGAGGAATTGCTTGGGAATTCTCCTCACAGCGAAGCTCAAGATCCTCGTCGAAACCGCTTTGATCTTAGAAATTGCAAAATTCACTCCCGACTTGTTCAGGTGGTACAAGAGGCACTCGACAAGGCATCAGAGGGTCGAACATGTATCATCGTGGCCCACCGGCTTTCGACTGTCGTCAATGCCAACTGCATAATGGTGGTCAAAGGAGGAAAAGTAGTTGAAAAAGGTACAAATCATCCTAAATTTCTGCTATTCTGGCCTAAAAGGCCTAGCCTGCATACCAAAAGTCAAGTCGATTTGTTCAGGAACTCACAGCGAGTTAATGCAAGCCAAAGGTGCATATTGGGCCCTAACACAGAAACAAACTATGGCCAAGGAATAAGCTCAGTCATTCGCCCTCTCATATGGCTCACACTCTTCATATCAACAAAAACGTTGTGATTCGTAGCTTTCATTGTTAATAGGATAGTTCACATTTGTGTGGGGCGGGGTGTATTACCTAGCAGCACCTCTGACTGGCCCCTTTCGCCCCCACACTTCAGTGCAAACTCTGCCTTTATTACCCTTTGACGAGCATCATGCAGGTACAGTCGTCATCCTTGCACTTGATAGGGGCGTGTCGGCGAGAAGGAGCGTGCACACTGTTTGAAGCCTTCTCAGCCTTTTCGTTGAAACGCGTATGCGACAAAAAGTGATAGAAAACGAGTAACACGAAGGATATAATACAGTAATGTCACTTCCTGGTTCAACGATTGGTGCAGTACGGGTGCGGGCGACCGCGCCGCACGCAGCCGCACTGACATTGACTATCAAGTGCAAGGATGACGACTGTAGATGACGCGGGCCGGTCCGTCGCGGTCGACCGCGATGCGACCGCTTGCGTCGTTCCTGCTAGCTTGCGCACTCTGTATTTTGTCATTTTTTCATGTTTTTATGTGATGATCTCGACGTGTGTACTGTTCGAATAACGGGAATAAACTTTGTTACTTTTAACTACAGATGTCGAAAAAAAAACTCAAGGAACCAGCGAACAATTGGCATCAGGGTAAACCACGCCCATCGCCTGCTCTCTAAGAGACAAGCGGTAGGGGATGGCCCTGATGAGGAGGCAAACAATGGGTTTTGGCTCAATGGCTCGTCCTCAACTAATTCAGCAGATTTTATACCGTCACCTCCTCTCCTCGCGGAAACATTATTACAGCCTTGTTCGCTGTAGGACGCTCTTTCATAGCGAGGGGGGGTGTGGGACTGAATTTGACGCGGCACTAGCTTGTTCTACACCAACTGTGGAAGCTGGCAGGCGACTCAAATGATGGGAACTGGCTGAGACGCGCCTCACCGAGCCCTCCTCCTTGAGTTTCTGAAATTTTTCAGCGTCCGCAACGAACAATACTAGAGACAAGATCCCAGCTGTGGCTGATAACGAGGGTGGAAACGTTTTTGAAAAGTGTTTCGTTGCACTTTGTTTCTTTGAAAAAAGCTAGGAATGGCGCTTGGAACTAGATGTCGCGATGGTACTGATAATGAATCGGTCGAACGTAGAACATCTCCTCATTGGCAGTTACGAGCAAGAAAACGGAAACCTTAGCGAACTTATTGACGTACCTTGACCACGTGAACGTTCTCTGACGCTTGGAGCGTTGGAGGGGTTACAGGTTAGACCGTTGGAGACGATGTGGAGCGCAATGTGAATTCCATCTCATAGTCAGGACACAGATCGACTTTTTGGTGGCATTTTGCATCTGGAAATTCCTGGGCTATACCCACTCGGTCTAAGTCCTATTTAAGTTAATTTTTTGGCGACGGTGGTGGGGGGGGGGGCTTTTTTTGGCTAGTTTCCATTGTCATGTTGAGCCACCAAGTAGAATATGTGGAATCTGGTGAAGCCATAAAGTGATACCGGTCAAAATATGTCGAAACTTCTCGCCAGTTTTGTAAAGAAAAACTGTGAACTCTTGTAAAGCAACGAAATGACAATGGGGAGCAGCGGAAATGCAAAATGCTCCTCCTCCAGTTGGCTAAATGTTTCGAATTTAGTTTATTTAGTTGTACAAGTTCCCCCCCCCCTTATCACCTACATTACATTCGGTTCTTGATCAACCAAAACTTCGACCTGTCTCGCGATAAATCGATAGTTCGTCGCAACCTCGTAAAAGCGGCTCTTATCGTTGCTATTTCTCCGAAGACTGAAAAAAACTGCACTAGTCAGAATGAAGTCACAACACAAGGGAGAGGAGCAGCTGACCAGAAAACGGGGAACTAAGGAAAGTGCCAGGACAAGATCATAGGCTGAGCCCAACCCTCCGCGGAGCAGCTGAACTCTCCCGGTTATCCTCTGCGGCGACACAAGCACATACGAGCGTTACGAGAAAAGTACCCCTTAGGCGCACTACTCATGGGGGGGGGTTTGGCACGGCGCCAGCCCGTACTCCACCAATTGGTGAAGCTGGCTGGCAGGCGACTACACTTGGTGGAGAGCTGGCCTACCCGCGCCAAGCCCAGCTCCTGACACACCCTGCGTCCGCACGTCGGGCAAGGAACTAGCTTTCTAAAAATAGTGGTCCTCTTGAGGGCTCACATTTTTCACTTCAACATCTGCATGCAGCTGCCGTCATTACAGGTTCTCCTTTGAATGCACTTCCACAGCTGATTCACATTTGCAGAATGATATACCGCGTAACACCCTCTTCTTCCCTATCCTGAAAAGAGGGGCGCACCAGGAAAGTGCAACTGTAAGTCTGCAAACCTCAATTAGGTCCCGCTGCGATACATACGCTCACGTACGTCACTCGAGACACCACTATATGGACACCCCAGTGGTCGCAAGGTCCTGCGACTCCACTGACACCATCACCTGGGTTATGCGGACCGCTAATGTTACTTCTCGAACGAACAGAGCACGCCTCGCTGGATGTGTTTTCCACAGTTCACGAATCTTCCCACACTACATAACTGTTACCTTTTCTTCCCACACTAACTGTTACCCTTGCAACAGCAGAACAAGCCCGAGGACTAGAGTACTCGGGCTGTTCTGCTGTTTGTCTCTCGCATGGCTTACTTCTAACACAGTCCCCTCACCCAACGTGTGCGTGGCTTCAGTCCATGAGTGCACCATTCATCTGGCGAGTTCCCTACACATTCCGAACCTGACGCGGAGCTCCTCGGTTAATGCTAAATTTCCAAAAGAAAAACGGTACTATTTGACTTGGAGGGGCATTTAGTACTTTCTCCAGTTCTTCTTGTTGTTCCATGTTAACTAACAGGTCTCACTCTAATCAGGCCTGTCAACTTCCGTGAAGCCAGAAACTGTCCCAATGAGCCACTTTGGCAACAGGAATTTACAGGTCATCCCAATGCGGCCTGTACAAGCTCAGCTGTGCTACCGCTTGGTACCCTCACCAATAAGAACTGGTCCAAAGAACATACAACAAACGTAACGTTACATGTAGTGTAGAGATGATCTCATGATGTATCCTATAATGCACAGAGGAGCCAAAACAATTTATTAACAATTTCTATACACTAAAAATCATACAATATACAACTTTGAACATGATACAGTAGCAATCTCATAGAAATCTTAACATAATTCTGTATATCTTTCTAAGAAAGCTGCAACGCTGGACAGGGGAAGTGCCGCCAATGTCACTGATGGAACGGAGTTGATCCACGCCCACCAGGGTGCTGACCAGGGAAATCTGCCAACTCACCATGGAACTTTGAATGGAGACCTGGGTAGATCGATAGAGTCTATAAGGTTATTTACAAATATAGATAGCAAAACTGCAACCTGCATTTCACAAGCAACTTATGAGCAGGTAAGTTTGTAATGGTGCAGTAGGGTGGAGGCTTGGTGGTGAGCTGTGAAGCATAAGCGAGGAATCGCATGCGTCGAACCGAGTCATGGTGGTTCAGTGGTGTTGACGACGGCGACTACTGGATTGGACCGTACGCGATTCCTCAGCTGATGCTTCGCAGCTCACCACCAAGCTTCCACACTACTGCACCATTACAAACTTTACCTGCTCATTAGTTGCTTGTGAAATGCAGGTTGCAGTTTTGCTATCATATTTGCATATAACCTTATAGACTGATCGAGTCTAAACGCCAGGTCTCGGCATTCAGAAACTCGCATGGTATGGTGCCGTACTTGGAGGGAGGTGCTGGTTCTACTGTGATGCTACGAGTTATGCCTGTCTTACGCTGACTGTGTACTCAAAGGGAGGGTACGAGGTGTGGGCGATGGCGTCAGCGGTAAGCCCGGTTGAAGGGTTGAACAGAAAGTGGCCATGCGCTCCTCGCAAGCCTACCACGCATATGACGCCTGGTCAGACAATCGCCCTGCCTCCAGAAATCGTGTCCATAGCCTTTAAGAACAGTGTTCATACTAATCCTATGTAGTGAACTGTGTAAATGAAAGCGCATCACATGCAAATCGTTGCAAGAAAAGGCTCAGGTCTTGGCGTTATTTACACATCCTACTCAGCGTTCATGTGCAATTCAAAGATGTCACTCTTTGCAGGTGGTATTGTCCATTCAAATGTAGCTTGTCCCATGTCGTCCGATTCGTCACTGCTGCAAGGACTCCTGGGGGACGTTTCTGAAACATACTGTTAAATATACAGGGTTTTTACAGCTACAGTTGTGCGGACAGGCTATGTGGGCGTTACTTGAGCGGATTGTAACTGTGTAATCCTACCATGTGGACAGGATGCGTCCGCAACAGGTGCAGGATCGTGACGCTGTTACGATCCGCAGCCTGAGTGGCAGGCGTGTCTCGTAACCGAGAGCGTAACCCAGGACCTTGTCTTGCCCTTCATTTGTAGTTAGCTGATTTTTCTCGTTTTTTCTGGTTTCACGGTCGTATACATCTCTGTCTCAGCATCCCTACCCTGCCGCCCCACCCACACCGGGGAAAAATCCAGAAAGGAGGACAGGAGATGATAGAAACTTGGAAAATTTGGAAAAATGATGTCAAGTAGGATGGAGAAGGAGAGTCGTGCATTCTCCTGGGGCGTATTTCGCATAGTTCTTTTCGAACACCAAGGGTCCGTCCCCTGGGCAAAGCCCCGCCAGAAACTTAGATATCATTTGACGATGTGTGGTTAGGGCTTAAGGGATCCCTAACACAGCTCGTCGGCGCTATCCGTACTCCCCATCCCCTCCCAGCTTTCCTAGACGTGATTCGGAGAGCGCCCTGCCGTCGAGTACACTCGTCCTACCCGCCGTATTCGCCGATCTAAGCTGCTCCTCCAGGCGCGCAGTGTTGTGCTGCGCTTGATAAGAAATCGCAGAGTGAGACATCATAATCGTACCACCTGCTAATATTTAAGAAACTTTGGTGTTGAGGCGCTCAAGTGGGAAATTAACAAATTCTACGCTTCGTATTTGAAATGCTGTCGTCTCCTCACGTCGTTTTTGCAATGTGTCATCTTTTTCTCTGATTTTCCCCCGTGCACCAATGTCTGCTCGCCGCTCACTACTTTTCGTTCCTAGATTGAAATGACTGCAAAAAAAGAGGTCCTGTTCCCCCATGTGTTCCTAGATGGTTTTGTAGGGTACTGTTCGTTGTACGTTACTAAGTCAGTTAGTTGTTATAAATTTATATGAACTTTTCTGCACAAGACTTGCAATGGGGGAATGCGTCTTTGAACTTCACTGTCAACTGCCTATAACCTTGAAATGGGCCCCACTGCGTCCACCACCTACATACTTAGAGCATAGGAATAATGCTTACCTCTTGAAAAAGGAAAGTTATCCATATCCATGATAGGCGATCTAGGTTCCCATAGTTGACCGTCTTCGAAAGGAAAAGGCTGTGCATCCAATTGAATCGAACTTATGGACGATGGCGTCATCATAGATGAAGCCTTAAATTGGGCTACATTTACGGTGAAATAAGATCAGTAACAACCCTTTACGAATATTTTTTCTCACCCGTGTAGCATTCACTCCAGTGCGTAACGGAGAATCTAAACTGTTGTCGGCGTTCCACTCAGCCACGGTCTGATTGAACAACTTTTCGAGTACCGGTGTGGCAGAAGGTCCGGTTGGAGAAGCACCGAGGTTGAGGGGGCTGTAACCAAACCCCCAATTTACAGACGAACTCCCAAAAAGGAATCCTTTTACTCACTGCTCCTGGAATATGTCCTCACAACCATCATCCTCGGGTTGAGTAGGATTCTCTTCAGCTATCATTCCAGCTGTGCGATTCAGGAATGAACGGAAAATCTGAAGAAAAAAGTTCTCGGATTGATAGTTTCAAGACACTCTGAGTGGTCCTTTGAGCGGTGAGATCCTCTCCATGAAAAGGTGGGCAGGTCCGCAATCGCAATATGTGTACCACTTCTGCACTCAAAAGTGGGTGGCAACAAAGGTTGTCATTCGATACGCTCTTCTTCCCCACAGCTAGTGATTGTTGAAGGCCGCGTCCATACTCTGCGTGCGACTGAGGAGATGCGGCAATTTGAGAGACTGCCCGACGAGTAAACTTTAGTTATCGATGTGGCAATAGCGAAAATTGAGCATCCGGCGATTCGGGAACCTCGGCGTTTCTGGTGATTACGCGGCAGAGAGGTGGATGGGTATCGATCAACGAAGGTCGATAAGTATAGCGGAGGAGATTCGCTGATTCGGGAGACTGAGCGATCGATTCGGCGACCTCCCAAAACGCCAGAACACCAAGTCTCTCAAATCAACAAGTTGCTCACTCTCCAGTACGCCGAATCCCAGCGATCGCTGCGCCCGGTCTCTCCAGTAGCTCAATCTCCCCAGCTGACCTGACTGATTCTTATACATTCCTCGTCATGTAGTCTCTCAAACTCC